CATGCGGTAGGACAAAGACCCAAAGGTTAGCCACTGCATGAGGCTGCACAAGGACACCAATGTGGCGACACCACATGTGGAAACGCTCGAAATACAAGGCATTTCTGTGGCTAGGAACTCTTGACTTGCTGAACAGCGCGGTTGATGTATAGAGACGTGGCAAACAGCTGGCCGTGAGCGGCTGGCACTGGAGAAGTGACTTAAAGATTCGCGCGATAGTGAGTGCCTGGGCCTGGGATACAAAAGTTAAGTTTCGCCCAAAATCGAACCAGATTTTATACGAACGGAAGGGCTTCTTCAAGGAGGCTCTCCTCTGCCCTCAGGCGGGGGGGAGCTTCCTTGAAGCCCGAGCTTTGCGTCCGATCGTTAGCGGCTTCTTAAGCTCCTACTTACCCCTTTGCTACTTAATCTTACGGCCCCCCCAAAAGTTGAAAACGGGATGCTTGCTTGTATATTAATATATAGTTGTTCAGGTTCCAGTTCTACATATTGCCGCGTTGAATGGGTCGAAGCCCAAGCTGCCCCCACAGTCTGGAATACTTGACACTTGTTCTCCCAAACATGAACAGTTTCTTGACACTTGAATTAAAAACAATTTAAAGCATGTGTCACAAATACAGAATCGAAGCAGAATGTCGGCTCCTTGAACTCCTGCACCTCATCCATGCGAACAGACTCTTCCATGGCACCGTGTTGAGCTTCCCATTGAAGGTCTCGTGAAAGTGGGCCTGCTTGCACCTGGCAAAAAGGTGAACAGAAACACAGCAAGGTTCCAAAGCAGCGGCTGGATTGGAATGACAAATGATCAATCCAGTCCAACAAAGGCAACACCGCTATTTTTTGATGCCAAATGCCCCTTACTCTGGTCCTTGAAGGCCATGTTTCGGCCTCGCCAAACCAGGCCAGTGTGGCATCGGATAGGTGGGCACTTAGCTCAGCCACGGCCCATCGCAAACGTCGATTCTCCAATGACATGCGCTCCTGATTCTCGAGACCGACATTTGCAATTTTTCATTCAAGACCGACCCAAGAAACACAAGAAACCGTATACCTTCTTACAGCTCTCTTCAAGCCAGGCATCATATTCAGCAGAAAGAGAGGACAAGTGCTCGAAGAAGGCTGATTCACATTCATTCGACACAACCTGCCTAAGTGGGGAAGGTGCTTTGGCTAGAAAGTCGGGCAATCGTTGGCGTCATGATCACTTGCTCATCTGCTTCGCAAGCAAGCGGACTCCCAAAATCTCCCAAACAAAAGTAGCTCCCAATGCATAGCAAGCTACACAAGGAAAAATAGGAAGAAACGTAGTTAAGTCTGCCACAGAGCGCGACGGAAGGGGACAGTGTGGAAAAGAAACACGAATCCGAAAGAATAAGCGCACTGTTTGAGTTGAAAACCATCCGACGTTGCTGGAGTCACACATGACTAGTTGGTGATGCAGTTGTGTTGTCAGGAAGTGAAGGCACAAGATGAGCAAGCCACTAACGCTGTCAGTGCTTCAAGAGGTACTTTGCCAAAGGCCGCTGCTCAAACTTGGGAATGTAGAAAGTGTGGTCCAATCTGCTTTAGTCTGTCTGTGAGGCTTGTCGTGAAATCTACCAAAGTGTGGCCTTTAAGATCTTTAAGTGGTCCCTACTGCCTAACATATTGAACGCCTCGGGATTCGGAAATCGGTGTTTAGAATTTGTTGCGCTCTGTGGTTTGAGGCCGGAAAATTTGACCTGGGCTTGACGCAGGCATCGGGCTCGAGTCCAAATTGTCTGTTGCATCCGGCAACTGGCAATGCTGCAACGTCACGGTCGTGAAAGAGCATGAGCCCCAAACCCAAAAGCGCAGGGCAAGTAAACCCCAATCTGGCACAACTATCAAGCAGGTCAAGGCAATGCAGTTGGCGGGACTGGTAAAACAAATGTGGAGATCTGGGTCTTGAAAGCTTTGCATTGGGAGGTGCTCAACCTGATCTGTCAAAATCGCCACCATGCAGCATTCTGAAGTCGATCGCAGGGCTCCATAGAAGTGATGCTGTGAGCCGGGAGATGCCACATGCGCACGTCAGCGTAGAGCTCATGGTCGCTCGATCCTTCTCAAACACCCTCTAAACCATCTCAAACCTTTCCACTGATACGTAGCATTTAATAAAGGATAATGACAGATAGTTCATGATAGTTCCTTTCCCTGCCAGCTTTCGGCCATTCAGTGCAAGTGGTAGAACTAGCACAGATTGAGATTGCACGAAGCACGCCTTTTTCATCCTTTTTCTGATAAGAGTCAGAGTGGTCAGTTTGCGAGTTTACCAACCTCTTTCCGACGTCACATTCTGACGAAAAATCAGGCTGGCTGCAAACTGCAAGATCGGTGAGTCATTGAGTGCAAAATCAAATATGCAGAGACTCCTCCGCCTTCTTGTTCTGGTGCTCTGAAACCACTGGATCTGCAAGGCTCCTTGGAATTCCTTGGTTCCTTCAAGGTCCTTTTCGTTCGACTCCTCGACTCCTAGCCGCCGGCCAAGGCTGCCAGGACGACTCCGAAACCAGATCCGTCTGGATCGTCCCGATCTCATTGCGATGTCCTTTCCTCGTGGAGCTTGGAGCTTTCGGTCTGCAAATTTGCCCGATGTCATCACGCATGAAGCAAAGTTTGATTCTGGACTTTTCGCCCTTCTCAACCATTGGGCAAGGCTGGCAAGATTTTTTGGCGGAAACCTTGGGCAAAGCGCAAGCGGTTCATTGGGCTTTTGAACCGATACTGTGAGACTTTCATATCTGATCTAGGGGAGGGGCCGATGAAAAAGCCAGGAATCAGCAGCTCTGTGTGCTGCCAAAGGGCAAAAGTAAAACTTAAAGTGCGCAAAGTTGAACACCCAGCAAGTTACAATTATGCTGTGCTGACATATAGCTTGACTGGGCTTGACCCGTTCCTGCCTTTACCACGGGCTCAGCAAAGGCATTGACCAACGATACCTGAGGTTTGGATCCTAAATCTGGCAATGCGACAGTGAGACACGCGATGACACACGTCCACCCCTAAGGGTCCAACACTCCAAAGATTCTGCGATGGAGCTGATGCCGGGTTCACAACCTCGAGTCATCCGTCGTTCAGATTCCAGTACGGGTTCTTCTAATTACTTTTAATTCTATTTATTTATTGTTTCTAGTTTCTTGCTCCTAGTAAGGCCAGGAGCCCCTAGTAGCGTCCTTGCTCCTAGTAGCGATGCCCTTTGTTACCAGTAGCGTCTTTGAGGCAGCATCTTCTGTCATAATTTGTCCAAAGTCTAAGGGTTCATCACTGAAAAGCAGAGTAAAGCTTGTCGAGTCAATCACCTGGGAACGTTGAAAGCAACCAACGTCACTAGCAATGGCCTCCAACCTAGAAGCGATAGCCTCGAACCTAATGGCAAAAGGAACCCAAGAGCGATGGCCCGATGGCCTCTAACCTACTAGCGATGGCCTCTGTAACATTCTCGACACCTGCTTTATCTCCACTAGTGTTGCAACAACAGATTTCTGGGCAGGAGGCTGCAGAGGTGTCCAACACCAGGATCAACAAATTGGCCTGGGGCATACGCTGCAAACTTGAATTAGACATGTCACTAACACTGTCACTGCTAAAAACCATTCGTTGCACAGTGTCGCCTCGCAAAGGTGATGCCCGCGTTCCTTTGTCGTAAAAGGATCAAACACATTTGTCGTCCCAAAACACACATGGCGTGAAACACAATTGCCACACACACACATATGCCACACATGCCAGGCCACCTCAGCGTAAGGAAGCTGAAAGGAACAGCGTGTCTCGCACCCACCAGTAATGTCCTCTTTAGCGCGGCCAAGGAGTCTTCATAAAACTTTATCCTCTCAAGAGCTTCTCAAGTTTTCTAGTTCAATAAAGTTCAAATATTTCCTTAATTCCGAGTCGGCACATCTGATCTCCAATCTGCAATTTGATTCAATCTTTTCAGAACTGTTACATCTCTGATCTCCATTTATCTCCTGGAAACGATTGCAAAGCGGCTCGAAGTTCCAAGCACTGGGTGCTTCAATCCGGATCTGCGGACAAGGCTTGATCACATCAGTTGACGAATCCAGAAATTCAGTGCACACCATGTAGGTGGTTTTGCTTTACCCCATGGCTACACAGGTCAGCAAACTCCAACTAGATCGGTAGAATGAAGGTGAAATACAAAGGCACAGGGAAGTAAGTCAGATGTTTCGGCAGCCTTTGCTTTTTTTTGATGACTGCAGTCATAGCTGCTTGAGTTTGGGGTGAAACTGTGAAACCGACCAGGCACTGAAAGCACCTTAAACCTCACAAAAGAAACACCTCAAAGCATCTTAACGTGACGGACGTGACGTCACAAAGGTACAAACTTCATGCATGAGCCCGTGATCAGGCACTCAACAAGGCTGCCGGGGCCTGTCCTTAGGCAAAAGCGTCATGGACACGTCTTTTCGAGAACAAAACGGAGAAGGGCCTATTACTTTTTTAAAGGGGGGGTAGGCCGTAGAGGTAGTAGCTAGGTAGCTAGTAGAAGAGGTAGCTAGTACTTAGGACGCAGGATGGCTCACGCTTCCTTGAAGAAGCGTTCGCACTATTCATTTGGTTCCTAGAGTTTTAGGGAAACTTAACTAATAGCGATGGCCTCCAACCTACTAGCAAGGCAAGGCCCCTATAGTACACTTCCCACTGAAAGGCCTTACCTTCCTTTCATCTCGTTTTTCTTCTCGGTCTAAGACCATTTGTTCTTCGTTTCGAGTCTTCAAGTCTCCGCCCATCCAGCGCCAAAGCATGTTGTCCAAGAACTGAGGATCATCACCTTCAAGCGAGCTCGGTGACCCGAGAGCAACTTCGCAAAACGATCAAAACATAGTAGAATAACATGCGTTGCATTGCGTTGCATTGCATTGCGTTACCTTGCTGATTTGTGCTGCGAAACCAGAGCCAAAAAACCTTGGGCTATCTGAGTCTCGTTTTAGTCTCTGGGGCTGTCACTGATGAGGACTTGGCCTGTCAGTTGGGAGCTTGTTGAGCTTTCCTGGCGACATGAGCTTTCCTCGAGTCTCGCGGTAGATCACTCGTGAATGCAAAGATCGCCGAGTGCACCCATGACGTAGTTGCAAACCTGAAGGCAAAGAAATCCTCAATCCTAAGCCCTCGTGATTGTGTTTTCGATCACCTTCAGATCTGAGAACTGCGCTGGAGAGGAAAGGCGCGGCGCTTTTCCGCCTTAATCGAAGCTGCAAATCTGAAATACAAATGATAAGTTCATTTGAACAACCATCGAACATATGTCTTATGGCTCTGGCGACACCTCGCGGAGCTTCTACACCCTCCACCCTGGAGTAATGCAGCACAGCAATTTGCAGCGAATTTGGTGCTGCAATCGTTTGGTTGAGCAAACCTCTCCACAAGTAGTTGCCAGATCTAAATTTTGCCAGAGCCACACCGGTCGCCAAGGGCAAAGGCCTTGATCTTTTGAACATTTGCAGCACAAACTTTCCTGAATTTTTAGGCACGAGCTGAGATCACCGTTTCTGTCTCTGACAACCTCGCCAACACCTAGGACGAATTGGAGCAAAAGTGTTGGCCGCGGCCTGTTTGGGATTTAGGGTGCAAAACACTGACTCTTCAGATGTCTGGGAATGGTCTGGCATGTTCGAGGACGCCACAAGTAACTCGAGAACCGTGTAGAAGTGCACTTTCACAAAACTCCAAAGTACCTTCAAGATATAACAAGCAACGTTCACCCGTGGCAAAAGGATCTACCACAACATTGAAAACAATGCCAGCATAGACCCCAAGCAGTTTCAGCATTATTTGCTTGGCGTCAACTGCTTGAATTCCAATGTTGGTGGTAACGTCTGTTATATTTTGGGAGTGGCATGTAAACCAAAAGTGTTGGAAAACAATAGTTCCTGACTCCCGAGGTCACGTGCGCCAACATGAAGGGATACATGTCATGAGAAAATCCGAGGATATCAAACGCTGCATCACTGCATTCATAGCCACACAAATCACAAAAACATACCACAAGGCGGTGGAGAAAGGCCCACGGCACCGGCCCATGGCGGCAGGACAGACCCAAGGCGACGACCGGACGAGGCTGAACTGTTTGGGGAACGGGAGGACGGCGCGGCCAAAGGACAGGACACCACGATACACCAAGACAAAACAAGGACAAGTATTCGCGAGCGCCAAAGGACAACTGGACAACACCCGGCCACAACAGGGCTAAGTGTCTGTTTTCAGAAGGGCACAGGATTGGCAAGCGTGGGAGGACACCAGTAAACTGTTTGGGAACAAGGGTAAGTAGTACCACTTTCACTGTCCAATGTTAGAGAAATCGTTTCCATTTTATTGTAAATCTGAAACTAATGCAAAGGGTGAGGCGAAGCGAAACAGGCAGTTTCACTGCAATGACTAATCTTTATCTCAATGTTTGTCCATGTTGCTCAAGGGTCTTAAATTCTGGCATCGTTTCACTTTGTTTCTTGGAACTGTGGCCTTGTGTCCCAAGGTCTACGCAGCTCATGGCATTGCACGAAGCATCCTGAGCTGTCAAGCTTCCAAAGACCCGGAGAATCGCCGATGGCTTCGTCACTTCGTTGGTCTAAGGAATTGACGATGCCATGGATCAGGTGTGCGAGGGCAAATCCTCGCCAAGGTTCCGGCACTTCCTCAGCACATTCTTCAGCAACGATTAATTACCTGACCATTCTTCAGCCTCGAAGTCTACCTTAGCCCCTTGCAGAGAAGGCGGCCTCTTTGTAAAATCTCCTTAGCTTAGCTTCAAGGTTGGAGCATCTCTCTTGTCCATTGGCATCACCTCGAGATTAGTTTGTTCTGGAAAGCAGCATGAAATAAACTGGACTGAGATAGAGGCCCACGGCTCATTTGGAAGAGGGAGACATCGTGGCCATGCACGGAAATCTGAAAATCAAGATGTCTCAATTCCAACATGCAGCTAGAAGCTACTAGGAACAAGTGCATCGCTTCTAGTAACAAGTGCCTTA